GGCCAAAATAAGCAGCTGTCATACATTCGTCAAATCCAGGAGTCTCCCAAGTATTAAACCAATCCCATCAAAGCAGTTTTATTGCTTATGAATGAATGGGTGGAAGTAGATGGGCAACTTTAAAAGGGCTGGCCATGGAGTAGACAACATAGCATGAGGCCCAGGGACTGAGGCTGTTCTCCCAGAGCCAGCAGGATTTACCAAGGAGGTTCCAATTCTGTTGCTCAGGGATCTGCTTTGTCAAATGGAGCTATTTTAAGAGTATACTATTTTCCAAGAACATTAGATCAAATTCTGAACATTTTCATGATTCTAGCAGGTTGTAAAGAACCATTTACTTAAAACCCTGAATATCTATGCCAGGGTTCCCTCAGCTTGGTCTTTGGTAACTGTAGCAGAAGGAATAATATCTGGGTTAACTTCATTATAATTAATTATCTTCTTGTTTCTCTAACTAACAATCTAATTCTTTTAGCATTGATGACAGATTGAAATCTCTTAACTATTTATTGCAAAAATTTTAGTGGGAGTGAAATTAAAAAATAGCTTTTGGGTTTTTTTTTTTTAATGTAAAGCCATGTGAGGCATCAGTTGTGTTTATTTCCTGGAAATAATGAGGAGTTTACATTAATCTACTTATTTTCTTTCACCCAGTCATCACACTTGTGTATATAGTGGCACGGGGTTGTAACTTCATCTGGGGCACAGAGGTGGCTTCTTTAGCTCAGTGTATTGAGCACAGAGGCTTGATTAAGTCTACAGTTCCAAAGAGCCATCCATGCTCTCTTCCCTGGTTTCCTGCCTCTCTGGGAGTATTTGCATCTTCTAGGGATTGGTGATCTGGATAGGAAGAGCAATAAGAAATGAAGCATCACCTATCTTTATAGAGTATGATATTCAATATGTTTTTCCAAAGAATTTTAATGTGGTACAGTTTGGGAGAATGAGTAGAATTCCCCGGTCTGAGGATAATTCTTATAACATATTTGTCCATTATGGAAATGTTTCTTTTATTAGCTGTAAAACTGTTCAAAGAAGCCAAAAGATTAACCTCCCTATGTATATTAACCACAGAAGCATAAGTAATTCAGAACTGAGGATACTAGAAGCTACTTGCTAGCTCCCTGAAGATAACTACAAAGAAGTAAATGAATTTAAATGGAAAAGGACAAGGAACCGGATTTTCTCATTGGAGAAAATGGTCGAGATTGAAATGAGCTACTTCTGAAAACTGTGTTTTTAATTTTAAAGGCCTTTAAAAATAAGAAGAGATTCTTTTTTGCCCTGCAGTGTATTAGATTCCTAAACAAAAGGAATGGCCAAGAGCACATTTTCAATCTGTTCCCAGTGAGGTTCATCTCAGGTGGGGTGGGAGAGAGCCCAGAGAGGGTGGGGAAATGGCAAAACAGGGTTTCTTGTTTGAGGCATGTGCTGCTCTAGAAAAGAGATGCAATTCTCATCTATTTACTTTGTTCCAAAATTTAACATCACTTAAAGAGATGATTGGGAAGCAAATATTAATGGCTGAAAGCATTGAAAAACAATTCACTTTGAGATTTCTTTAGATTTCTTTAGCATTTCTTTAGATATTGTGACTAAAAGAATTCTTATTCAATTTTCATGCATGTGCATTAGAGATTTCATATAGTGTGTGGCTCAGAGGAAGCACACAATAACTATTTTTTTAAAACTTTTTGGAGGCCTCCCCTGGTGGTGCAGTGGTTGAAGGCTGGCCTGCAAAGCTGCCCGCAGCCTCTGCAGCGCCGGCTCGATCCCCGGCCACCAGGCGAGGGTCCCATATGGCACGCAGACCTCTCCTGCTGCGCCCACTGCTCCCCTTGGCAGTGTACTTCGGTCCTTCTGCCCGTTCTATTCCCCACTCTGGCTCTGGTGAATTCTCTCACCCTCCCGTGCTTCTGACTGTACCCAGTGCGTGTATAAATAAATAAATAAATAAATCTAAAAAAAAGGTAAAGTTTCTTTGTAAGAATGAACAACAATATAAAAAACAACTTTTTATTAAAATTTGTTTTTGCGTAGAGGAACTGGGGTGTAGGACAGAGGTTTGGGGCTGGGAGGATTCATCAGCAACAGAGTGGGGAGCAGGGTAGGTGGATCTATTGAAATACACTGCTAAGGGGAGCAGGAGGTGAGACAGGTGAAGTCTGTTGCACTGTATGTGGGTTAGCTCCCTGGCCGGGGATCAAACTCAGGCCATAGTGGTGACAGCACTGAGACTTAATCTTTAGGCCACCAGGGAGGCCACTCATAACTATTTGTTGACTTTAATTTGTTGAAGTAAACTTATTGTGGTAATCATTTCTCAATGCATGAGAAGCATAAGTAATTCAGAACTGAGGATACTAGAAGCTACTTGCTAGCGCCCTGAAGATAACTATCAAATCATTATATTGTATACCAAAAGCTAATACAATGTTGCATGTCAGTTATACCTCAATAAATAAAAAGAAAAATATCTGAATGACTGGGTGCAGAAGAGAACAGATACAGCAAAGAGATCTGTTTTATTACTTGAATGTTATTTGTGAAAAAGCATTGAGTTATTTTGTGTTGAAAAGGGGTCAGCATACTTTTTTTTTTTTTGGAAAGCTCCAGATAATTATTTCAGGTTGTAGGTCAGAATATCAATTTTGCAGCTACTCAACTCTGTCACGGTAGTGTGAACACATTCATAGATAATATGTAAGTGAATGACATGACCATATTCCAATAAAACTTTATTTATAAAAAACAGGCAGCCCTCCAGATTTAGCCTATGGACCATAGTTTGTTGGCCACTGGTGTGGAACACAGTTCTGATCAAACTTCTCAGTTTCAAGATATGTTAAGGTTAATCAAAGAGGGTATTTGGTGTGAAAATCATTACTAACAGTGATTTATTGTTGGTAAGCATTGTGTGAAAGATGGTTCTAGGCTTTTATTTCAGAATAAATAGATAGCAACTGCTGCAAATGTTCATTTCATTTTGCTGTCATTTCAGCAAACTTTTACTTTCTGCTCTGTGACTTCTGTAAGATGCTTCTTATAAATATGTATTTATTCTTCAGTATGAGGTCTGACTTATGAAAATCTTCGTGTTCTATGGATGTAGAATTTTTAATCCATTGAATGAATTCCTTTTCCTTCTTAGCACAGAGATAGTCTCTGTTCTTAGGAAGGAGCCAGCAGTGACAGAATAAGATAAAGTCAGTGTGTTCACACCAGGCAATCCAACATGACCAAAGGCAGGATGTTGAGCACATTTCTGGCAGAAACAAAGATGGTTAATTTGTAAATCAGCAAGGATATTTTGTATACATTTCATGTACTACAATGATACTCACCTTATGGAACCCTGACATTTTTACTTTTATTCTCTATGTCTCTGTCTCTTTCTCTCACACAGAACTTAATAATTACTGTCACTTTTTAATATTTTATTTTAATAATATTTATTAAATAAATATTGTATTTATTGTGGCATCCTAATATTTTTTGACTATGATAACTACATTAATTCAAGACTTCCACATATGAGCCACTTTATGTAAGAATTTTAGAGCATTAATTTTTTTTGAATTAGAGTAGTACAAGGAAACAATCTCTATATGAGGTGAATTTATAACATAAAATTAATGATCTTATTAACCTTGCCTACAAACCTATTAACATGTTAAAAAAAATTCAAGACATTATAGTATTTTAGTATATAATTTTAAAAAGAAATTGATAGCTAACTGGGAAGAAATTTAGTTTATGAAGATTCTTTTTTAAGAAAGTATAAGTAACAAATAGCTAATTATTATTTTTTAAATAATAAATTTTATTTTTATATTCCCCATACAATTGCAACCCCCCATTCTGACCCCAATCCCTCCCCTCCCACCCCCCACCCCCCAAAAAGTGTCTCTGGTTCATAGTCTTTTGTTGATTTTGATTTTCACTTTCTTATAGTTATTCATTTTCCTGATCCCTTATTTAAGTTTTCTAGATTCCTGCTATGAGTGAGACCATCTGGTATTTTTCTTTTTCTCTCTGGCTTATTTCACTGAGCATGATCCCTTCCAGCGCCATCCAGGTTGCTGCAAATTGCATGTGTTTATCTTTTTTGAATGCTGAGTAATATTCCATGGTATATATGTACCACATCTTCTTGATCCAGTCATCTATTTTTGGGCATTTGGGCTGTTTCCAAAGCTTAGCAAATAGCTAATTATTACTAACTTTTGTAATTGTGTCTAGGAAGTATCTGGAAATTTAGCAAATTCATCCTTGGATATTTTTTATGGCCCAAGCAAGCCTTTTTACCTTTTACCTCAGTTTTTTCACTTGTAATATGGGGTATCATTTTTAGAATCACAAATTTAAGATTGGAAGTGATAACAAATTGACTTATCTGAACTTATGCTTTATTTTTATTTCATGCTATTTTACTTTTCCTAGTAATAGTCTCAAAACTCAGAAAAAATGTTTTGTCCACATTCTTAGCGCACGGGAGCTTTGGGGGTGCAGAGCTTCCTTCTCTGTGCCAGTTTGAACTGAGCTTTCCTGAGAACAGGTATTTCTTGGTTCTGAAGGCACATGGCCCAGGCAGGGGCTGCGAGGTTACTTACTCAGTAGGCTTCGCTTTCCCCACGTCCCATTGTCCCTGCTGCTTCTCTAACTCTGCCTCCTCCAGGCAGAAGGGCAGAGGCAGAGGGGAGGTTCTGTCACTGCCAGTATGGGAATGGCACCCTGAATTTCCTCAGCAGTCCTTCTCAATACCCCAGTCACCTCAAAGAAACAAGTCAGTTCTAACTTCCATTTTTAAAAAATCTTTTAATTTATTTATATTTATATATTTGACATAATTGCCTAGTTTCTATTTTATAAAACAAGGGGCATTCTGGGAAACTGACAATTTGGTTTCTACAGTGTGTCTGGCATTGTGCTAATGCTCTTGGTTTTCACAGCTGACCTCCTCACACACATTTTTTTTTCCTTCTCACACACTTTTACAGAATTAGACAAGAGTGCAGAAAAGTATATTCTTCTCTAAGACAATGCAGTTTCCTGGAGAACACCCACCAGGTTTGTGGTGAAGAGACCTAGTCCCAACCTTCATTCTTCTCTGCTGGATCTCTGCTATCTCTAGCCTCGGACTGGCCACATTGCCGCTGGGAGCCTCACTCTTAAGGCGAGGACACTTTTCTTGCAGTTTAAGGTGATCGGGTGATGGGTGGAACAAAAGGGATCCCAGCTTCATTGTTTCTAGTGGTGTGTGACCTGGGGGTAGTTACGGAGCCCCTCAGTGCCTCAGTTTCTTCATCTGTAAGAAGTGGATAATCAAATAATATCTACCTCATAGGGCTGTTGTGAAGAACAACTTACTACATGCTACACACTTAGAGCAGTGCCAGGCACATAGCAAGCATTCAGTAAGTGTTACCTGTTGTTGTTGTTATTATGTGGAATTGCCTTGAAGGGAAGAACTATATTAAGAGAAGGAGTTATTTATTCATATCTAAATTGCATATATTAGGACTGTGTTTAAACACATTTCCACTTGTGTGGGAAATCCATTGATATTTGGTAGAAAGAGCTTGTTACAAATACTGCTGCTTCTCCATTTTTCCCATTGTAGTTTCCCCCTTCTCATTATCTTTTATTTCTTTTTCACTCTCTGAAAAATAAAGTGACCATGTAGAGGGAAAAGATTAAATTCTTTCAACTCCTTTGAAAAAAGAGGCTATAAAACTACAATATAATAATGAAACAATAAAAATAATATGTCATCAAATCTTAAGCAGCAAAAGCAGATTTAGCTTAGCTCTGTTTATGCTGTGGCTGAAAGCCTCCAAGTTTCTTGGTGTTTTACAGGATGCAGAGTATAATTCCAGTTGCAAAGCATCCCTGCAGTTCAGTAAAATTGTGGGGAGTATAGCAAGGAAGGGTCTTCAGATGTTTCTTTGCCTTGTGTTTGCAAGTTTGAAAAGACACAGATTTATTAGGTAAGTAGTTTTAAAATGTGTTCAACTGTGAATAGCGTATTGACTGGGACTAATACTATGCATAAAGACTTGAGAGTGGGTGTTGTAAAGGCCAACAATGCTAAGGATGTAGGTCACGTATTTCTGAGACTGCTGGGAAGTGACTAGAGGCACTTGGATAAATGTCATACCAGTTCTTGATGCGTGGCTTCTGTATGATTTACACAGTCGGCACTTTGGAGAAGGACTCTGCCAGCTGTCTGTAGTAATGAATAGCCCTGAATAGAGTACTCTGAGATCATAGACAGTGATTGGTATCCACTGCCACATCTATCTATCTGTCTATCATCTATCCATTCGTCCATCCATCCAGCCATCCACCTACCCATCCATGATCTCAGAATCAATTGAATCTAATTAGTCTGTTGCAGGAATTGTCAAGAATCCCCGCTAAGTGAGGGTACACTAAATATCTTAAGTCACATTAAGGACAAACTGTGAAATGAGTTTGGACACAGTTAATCCCAGTGGACTGTTACATCTATAGCGGACTGTTATATCTTCTCTGGTGGAGAAATCACTGTTTTGCAAACTGAGAAAATCTCCATTAAAGCTATGTGACTTAAATGATAAGAACAATCCCAGAAATTATACGGTTTGAGCAATAGTATAGATATTTAAATCCCCCAAGAATGTGTTTATGCAAAGAAAAGCAGCAATAGCCTATTGTACCCATAATCCATGCATTAAAGAGCCCCACAGTGCACATTTACACAGCAGACCATGGCTTGACTTCAGTGGCAATGAGCTGTGGACTGAACGCTCATTGAGAGCTACCAGGCACTGAGGCACTTCCCCTAACTTGGTCGTAATAGCTCCAGTGGAACCCTTACGTCCTCAGGATCCTAGTATAACAAGCAGGATAGAATGAATGCATTTCTGCCTCTACCACGTCTTATTTTTCTTAAAAGGCTCATTTCTATTGGCATTAACTAAACACAAGAATCCCCAGAAATCTAAATTGAATATGAGAACTTAAATCTATGCTAACAATGCTATTCAGAATTGAGTCATGTTATAATATACCATATATCATATATTGTCAAATATTGCTTTGGTCTGCAGACATAATTAATATAAGCTAGCCATTAATAGCATGATATATGATCCAGGAACCTTTAATATAACCAAAGCCAACTAATATTTATCTCTAATGTGCTATAATCTTTACTCACATCACAAAGCATTAACAAAGAATCTATTCTCTAGTGCTATACTCCCAAGGGTTTATTTGAACTTTTTTTCCTGGTTTAATTAGCTTATTCATTTTAATTAAAGTACAGTGCAACATTTACATGGTGTTTAATCTGAAAGTTAATCCTGTTTTCTTAAAAGATTAAGTACAGTAATAAATATAAAATAATGGTGGCTATGTCTCATAGGACTGGTGCTTTGGCTACAGGAAAAATTTCTTCTGGGGGAAATAGCAGAAGCAGATTTTGCCTAGTATTATTTCATTAAGACATTAACGCCACAAGAATATCTTTTAAACCAATTAAGGGCTTCCACAAAAGTCAGATTTGCAACCTGAACCCCCACCCGCCATGGATGTTTTACATCTTTTGGATTTGAGGCAGGACACCCAAAAAGGATGAAATGATTCCACATCCTGTATTTGTGTGCTTATGGACTCCCCTGTGCCGCCCACTACATTTCTCCCCTCCTATGCCCAGTTCATCTTGATCCAAGAGTTTGACCTTTTCCTGGTGACAAGTGTACTTTTTGCCAGTATTTTTCTCTAGCCCAAGTTTTCCCTTTGCCCTTGGCAACTTCGTTGCTTATTTGGACAACCTGTGCAGCAAGCACACTGCTCCTCAGTTCTTTGACCTCCATATTGACAATTACTTTCTCCCACACTCTGATTTAGCCGCTCACTTCCATGGTCACACTGTACATTGTGTTGTTCTGAAGTCACTTACTCAAACCTGCCACTAATTCATTCCTTCCTGCTTCCACTATAGCCATGCTGCGTTAAAGCCTCCAGTCCTTCAATCTCTCCATTTCCTTCTAGCTTCACTTTCTTTCCGATTTGCCTGTATTTCATGGTCATTTGAACTTCTTTCTTACAAATATCCTGGCTTCCCTCACCCTACTTATTCCATAATAAGCTCTTATGTTGTATAAACCCTATCATCCATCCAGGTCCAATCCCAAATGGAATCGTTCCCATCATCACTCAAATGTGCTTTTGTATCTCCCATTTAAAAGAGTTCTTCTCCCTTAACTCCATCATCTCATTCATTGTTTTCTCTGTCCAGATTCTGAGAAACATTACATAGACATACTTCATCTCCTCCCGTCTTATTTACGATTTAACCAGTTCCAATTCAGTTTTCATTCCCCGCCTCTCCACCAAAATACATCTTGCTAAGGTTTTCAATCACTTTCTTGTTATCAAATTTAATTGACACGTTTCAGTTTGAATCCTATTTTGCTTCACAGCAGCATTTTTCAGAACTGTCAATTTCTGCCATTTTGAAGTACCTTTTCTCTTGACTTCAGTGACACCACATTTAACTGGTTTTCCTCCGCTTTTGTAGCCTTCTTTGAAACTCTGTTTCAGGAACTTTTCTTTCATCCAATCTACATATTTTATCTCAAAACTTGGCCCTACACTCTTATTTTCTCAAATTCTTGAGAATTTGGAATCCTAAAGATTAAAAATCAATCTATATGGAAAACGTAAGTCCACACAAAGACTTGTACTTGCATATTCACATCAGCCTTCATTCACAAAAGCCAAAAACTGGAAACAACCCTAAAATCCATCAACAGGGGTAAACAAAATGTTTTAGCTACACAGTAGAATTCTACTCAGCAATAAGGACGAATGAACAGCTGATACACAGAACCATTGATGAGTCCCAAATGTGTTATGCTAAGTGAAAGAAGACTGACATGAAAGGGTATGTATATACAATTTCATTTCATTTATTTAAAAATCTAGAAAGTGAAAGCTAACCTATAGCAACAAAAAGTCAATCAGCATTTTCTGAGACTGAAGATAAAGGGAGGGATGGACTGCGAAGAGCAGGAGGAAACCTTTTGGGGTGATGGGAATGTTCAGTATCTGTATCGTGAGGATGGAGTCACAGGTACATACATCTCATGACAGAAGTCATGACATTGAACCCTTTGGATAGGTGCAATGTATTGTAAGTTATACCTCAATAAGATTAATCAAAATCTGTATGCTGACCATTCTTGCATTTTTTTTAATGTAGATCTCTCTTTTGAGTTTCAGACTGTGGATCCAACTATTCACATGACATCACCATTTTAATATTTCATAGGAATTTCAAACTTAAGTCTAAAATGGAATCTTGATTTTTTTTTCTTTCTCAATTTCAGGAAATTGCTGTCTCATGGAGACCTTAAAATATAGTGGCATAAATAAAATAGGAATTTATTTCTGTCTCACAGGACAGTTTTGACACAGGGGAGTCATGCAGGTAGGACAGCTCTGCCATCTTATTCGTGGATTCCATTTCTGATTCCGGGAATGCTTCTGTTCTCACCCTTTCCCAGCAGCAAGGACAGTAAAAGGTCAGAGAAGTGCCCTTCTGGTGGCATAATGCAGAAGTGTCGAATGACCATACATCATAACAAGGAGGCTGGGAAATGTTACCTTTAAGCAGTCATATGCTCAGCTGAAATTTTATTTCTACAGTAGAAGGGGAGAATTGATACTGAGAGACAGGGTTTCCAGCTTTCTCCAGGGTGTGTGGGGACTTGGGTGTTTTTGTGGGCTCCTCTCTGCCTCTGCAGTTTGATTAAAAAGGTATTACAAAGGCCAGGTGAAATAACTTGTTCATGAAAGTTTAGAATTATGGGTATCGTCTAATCAGTATACATTTGTGTGTTGTCTAATCAGCGTGCATGTCCCAGCATGTCTTCATTGTCCTTGTTCTCCATTGTTCCTGGCTAGTTTTGTATCTCCTATGCAGTAAACAAGCAGCAACACTATTATTAGTCTCAAACACATAGTTCCTTAGAACTATCTATTGAACTTTGTATTGAAACTATATATATCTTCTTGCTGCTGTGGCTTCCTAGTACATTTATATTAATGCTTTTATATTCTTACTCATCCTACTACTTCTTTTACCTTGAATGTTGTTTGCCAACAACTCCGATTGCTA